TCCTCTCCTCTCCTCTCCTTTCTTCTCCTCTCCTCTCCTTTCCTCTCCTCTCCTTTAGTCTATATCTTTGTTTCTTTACTATTTTCTTTCCTATTTTTTTTCATTTACCTCCCATTTCATTTCCGTGGTTTTGTACCCTTTTTGCCTCCTTATCCTTTCCCTCTTCTCTCCTTCTTTTTTCCTTCTCTTCCTTCAATTCCTACATTCCTTTTTCACGATTTATTTTTTGCGAAATTCTACAAAATTTTTCAATAACTTTCCCCCATACCAGCTCTTTCAGAACAGAATATAGAAAAATCTAGAGTGCAGCTCTGGACTTCACTTACCTCTTAAAATTTTTTATAATAATAATATGCGTCGATCATAATGAAAGCATATTACAAAAATAAAAAATAAAATCGTCAGAATCGCACACGATAGTACGTGAAGTGGCTTTGCGTTTGATTAATATCAATATAACCATGTACTCGGAAAATTCATCATACTTAATGAATGGATGAATGGACTAAGGATCACTGAAGGGTCAAGCAGCATCAGTATTATCCCAAGGAAGGAAAAAATTATCAATAATTCTTTTGAGATTTATTGCTTAAGGCAATCCTTAATTAACACGGCTGATATTGGATGTAAAACACTTGATGAGTTGTCATTGTTGATGGCTAAAGTGAATTCCAATTTTGCACTAATTTGACGTGTGTCTTGCACGTCTCATGTCATTACTAATGGATTTTTTTCTTTGGCGATCATGTGCTATCAAAATATAATTAACAGAATGTGGACATTACGCGGAATCAGTACCATTTTTTTACTCGAGCCTCTCATCTCTACATCACTATCTCTACCAGTATGTTGAATGCCTCGTAAGTCTAACTTGTAGATTTTTCACAGACTGTCAATTTCCTGGGTGCATTTACTCGGGCTACTTAGTTACACAAATGTAATTGCTTAACATTTTCTATTAACCACTATATAATCACATACTGCATTTACTCGGACTAAATGCAAATTTACATGCATAAATGTGATGTCTCCAATTATCTACTTTGCTATTGACCATTATGACGAATGCCTTGCGAAGATTTGAACTAAAACGCAAGTCAGTGACTATTTAAAGAGCGCGTTCAAAGGCCTTGTTCACAGGCCAGATGACGAGAGTCATCATACTAAAAAGCATTTACTCGGCCTTTATGTTTTAATTCCCTATTCTGGAATTACTGGAATTATTATAAATTGCTTAAAATTTGTGACGTGGAATTTGAAATTTGAAAGCAATTAAAATGAACAATTAATCGGTAACAAGGATCGAAAACCTCGAAGGTCTAATTAGCAAAGCCGTCCAGGAGGGGCTAACTAGCAACATGACATTGAAAGAATAGACACACATATATCATAAATCGAGAAGATGAGGACTCAAACAAAGTTAGTTTTCTGTTGTGTTAGTTACTATTAGCGAGAAAAATGATCATACAGTATGGAGTATGCGCATGCGCATGAGAGGGTTTAGAGAATAACCATGGCCGATCATATATATATATATATA